GGGGGAGCGGACCGTACCACTGCTTCCGCAAGGCGGGGGTGGGCGGAGGCGTCCATGTCCTGCAGCGCGGCCGGGGAGGGAGCCGCGCCTTCGGGCTTCGCTCCGCCTCACCGGGCGGCAGGACGCCGGGTTTAGGCACCCAGCTACTCGGCTGAAAGCGGGAACGTGGGTTCATTACGACGGGGCTGGGACAAGCAACACCTCGAGGCAGAGACCCGCATCTTGCCCCCAGGAAGACACAAGCCCCACGCCCTTCCCCAAGAGAAGGTGCAGCTCTGGCCCTTGGTACCGGTGTCCCAGCAAAAGTGGGTAGGTCAGGGTGACTTCAGAGTCAGACCGCTTTTATTTGGAATAGAACAGCTGTTTAAATAAAAGTTGCACTATTTTCACATTATAACGTCACGTCTTGCACTGAAATTGAGGGGGTGTTTTTGCTTTCCTTTTCCCTGTTAAACACATCAGCCATCATCATAAAAAAAAAAAAAGCCATCACTTTCAAGTCTCTCCATCACGGCCACCCGTTCCGTCTGTCTGAGGGCAGCTGCAGGCACAGAGCTCATAGCCCCCACGACGATTTCTTTTGCACAATGTAGGTCACCTTTTTAAAACACCAAAAGCTTCCTAGAAGGACAAGCGTGCTCCTATAACAAGTCACCTAAAATTCAGAACCATTTCTTCCTCTGAGGCACAGATCCTCCAGCAAAAGCCAAAGCTGAACTTCTCCTCCTTGCAATTTTCAACATAAATTCATTTTACCAAAATACATAGTGTTGCACTTCTCAGAACATTAATTTCTGCATCAAGTTCCTGAAGGTTTTAGTATCTGGGAGTTCAGTGAAAGATCAAGAACACATTAACAAAGAGCAAACCGGCTGACCACAAAGAGAAGGGACTTGGAACAAAATCCTCTATGCAATCTCTCTGTAGGTCAAACATTTAAGTTAACCACGTTGAGGAAAAAGCACTCGCTAAAGATTCAGCACTCATTTTTAGTTATCAAGAGCCATGTTCAGGTAACTAAGGAAGACCAAAGCCAGAATTTCCTGATCCCTGAAAACACTTTTCAAGGCTTCTCTTTATATCATTAAAAAGCTAAACCAGGCAAACACTCAATTACAAAAAGAATCTCTATAGGTCCCTTCAACACCAAACCTCTATTTTTCTTGCAGCTAAGCTACCATGGTGTCATTAACACACATAACCCTCCCCCCAAACCATGAACACGATGGACCCAACTAAGGTGGAGGCATTTGTATGGCATGTTTCTGACTAACTACCTGAAAGACAGAACCAGTCTTAATGGCTCCTCTTCATCGAACGCCAGCCTTTGCCGACATCGCTTTTCTTGATTTCACACATGCATTAGTTCAGATTTTTAGTAATCAGTTGGAAGAGATTCTCTATTCCCATTCTGCCCTTCAAACCAGTTAAGTCTGTCCTTCACCAGGCTCTAGTTATGAGTATTTCCATGGAAAAACAGTTACCAGCAGATCACAACTGGTTGCTGAGCTTAAAAAACACACAAAGGTTCACAACAATGCAGAAACCTGTCTTCATGGACCAGGGGCATGATTTGTATCTACCATCTCCTTTCAGGAAAAGGAAAGGTCATAATGGATTCAAAGCAGTAATACAACACAAAGGTTTACTGGCAAAAAGACACTGGTTAAATAAATTTTATCAGAATCTTGAGAAATGGGTGTAGTATGGGTATGATTCTATCTGAAAACTTTGCAAGGGATATCAATGAAAGCACATGTTAAAATTAATTATTACAGTGATCAGACATTGCAGTCATTTACTCTCAACAGTACTTTTATGAGACATATTTATATATTCAATAATTAAATATAAAATCAAGGATGAGTGTCACAAAACAAGGAAATAATAAGGCTTGAAGCCCAGTCAGTCCCCAGATTACCCTTCTAGTCGCGGTACCTTACATTTTACCTTTCATTTTACATGCTGCTATTCTTATACATGATAAAGCAATAAGAAAAGTTAATTGCAGATTCCTTGCTTTTGTGAAGCCTCAAACCTACTTCAACTTAGTACAAAAATAGGGGGAAAAAGGATAAAATGTTTGTTTGTTAAAAAGCAGAAAGGGGAAGAGATATTCATAGACATTTTGGACTGACAGAACCTAGGAAATAGGGACAACGCAAACAAATATTCAGACTACCAAAATGTAGCAGACAATGTTTTTGCTACCTGTTCTGTTTACCAGAATGTGATGTGCTAGCATTATTCCTTATTTAGAATTATTGGCAATCAAAATAAATGCCATAGGCAACAAGAAAAAAATTGCAGTTGCACACTGATCAAACCTTTTTCCTACCTAGAGAGGGTAATGCAGGTAAAAAAAGCTTAATGTAACAAGTCAACCATGTCCACATCCACATGTACTATACAATAAGAACATTCAAAAATATTGACATGAGACAGTGATCCTATAGTTTTCCTTTTCTCTTTCAGTTATATATATATAGTTAAACAGCACATAGGAAAACACCACTATAGCTTTCACTGTGGCCAACAGGAAAATTCTCACAAATATAAAAACATTTGTTTTTAAATTGTTAGTTTTCTTCAAAACATCATACAGATGAAATGAAAGAAATAGAATTTCTCATCATGTAACAACAAAAAAGTGAAACCCTTGGGAATTTACACAATTCTCAAACATCCAACTTTGCAGTCTTGTCCATCTCAATCCCTACTACAGCAGAACATAGTATCACCAAAATAAATGAGCACAATTCCTTGAGAGCAGTGATGCTACGTGGATACTATGTGAAATTTCACTGTACTAAAACATTTAACTTAGATTTACATTCAGTATTTTGGAGGAAGGGAATGCGATAGTCCCTTCAGGCTTTATCCTTGCTGGCTGCCTACCCAGAAAGCATTATTGTTATTACTTCAAGAGGAAAGGGAAGGTGCTGGTAAGAGCCAGAAGGGCAAGGCAACGATGTTGATTATGAAATGCCCTGTTCTTTGGATGAACCGTGTAAAATATTTTGTTAAAAGGCTCCATGTTAAAAATATTGAGAACAAAAAGGTCTTCTTAAAAATACAGAGCATTTCTGCCTCTTCTTTTAAGTTCAAAGCTCAGGGAAAAGTGTTTTGCTAGAATTAACTACAGGTTTGCTGTAATAAACATGTATGACAATGCCCTAAGTAACACAGGGCCAACCACAGACTCCAGACAAACGTGATTGCTTTAGGTTTCAAGTGGCATACGCATCTCTGTTTTTGTATAAAAGGAACAGAGATGTTCTGGAACCTTCACTGCAGAGTCTTTGCCAGTGTCCAGCTTTTGGGCAAAGGAAATCTTGCCACATTGCAGAGTCACAATCTTGAGCATCAGAATGTAAAAACAATCATGATTCAGTGTCTGAGCCAGAACTGCTTTCTCGGCTGATTTCAATTTGTAGAGATGGTAAATTATCCAATCGGCTCTTTTTTTGCCGAGACTGTTCTTTTTCCTTAATGAGAGCACCCCAAACCCGCTGGAGCTCTGAATCATCTTCCTCTGGAGATGCCACAGAGTTTTCAGGTTTATCTGAAGTCTTTTCTTGTGTCTTCGGAGCAGAACCTAATCTGGTCCATAAATTACCTAATCAGATGAAAAACAAACATTTTTTTTAAAAAAAAAAGACAGGACCAGGAGGAATTCTGGAGGAAGTCTGAGGAACCAAGTCTTATATTCACTGCATCTCTTTAAATTCCTCGTACTCCCACCTTAATGTTTGCCATGGAACTCACTATGCTTTGAAGCAGTAGCTGAAATGAAAATATCTTGTTCACTGTTTCTCATTTGCAGAAAATGCTACACCCAGGTCTGAAGTGCCATTGCATTCATTATGCTGGTTTTAGTGCACTGGTTTGACCACAGTTTTAAAGGAGCCCTCTACTTTTAAGCATACCTATATAAAAGATACTGCTCATAAAAATATTCAGCTCAACCTACCTACCGGTATTTAGATTTCAAAGCTCTGAACAAACATTTGGTAATTCATCTTTAATTTCACTCAACTGATCATCCTTCATGATTTGCTGCTGAAATTTCTCTTATACTCTAAAATCAAAGGCATTGCTGTATTACATTTTCTCCGTAAAACTAACCTGATTTCTTCTCTCTGGTATCAGAGTAGAGGCCTTTTACATCTTGTTTGGGGATTCCTAACCGGCTGTGTACATCTGATATTGGTTCTCGACGAGGAACAGAGATACTACTTGGAGGTTTAATTTCTGGAGAATGTGGTCTTTTTCCCAGTCTTTGCCGCACATCTAGGGATATTTTCAGTGATTAAAAAGACAAAAATCATGTCACCTTTATTCTAGTTCTGCCGGCTACTATTATGCACGTTCACAATTTGTACAACTTGAAACTAAACAGAGTCTCTGGTTTTATCTTTTCTGTAGTCTTTCCATTTAAGTCTTTCATACTCAGATTTCAGTCCTGGCAATGTCTGCAATACAATTTATCCAGATTTCTTTTTCTTTTTTTTTTTTTTTTGGCAATAAATTTGACATTTAATGTTTTCAGGTCATGCTGTCTCCAGAAGAGCCAAAAAGTAAATTATTCCATGGCTTGCTGCATTTCTATTTTAGCAGCACAGTGTGTATGGATCCAGCATGAGGTACGGTCATAGAAAAATTGGTATGCCTTCAACGGTTCTTTTCAGGTATCAGATACCTTGCTTTAGAATTCTAATACTGCTTGATATTTCGCAGAAAAAAAATGAAAACTGGAATATAAGAATGCTCAATATATTGATACTTAGCACATGATGCGAGTTCTTACACTCTGAAATCTGGCTTAGGTAGATATTACTAGTCTTAAAGAAGGTTCTAACAAAGACATAAAGGCAAAGGAAGTTATAGGATTTATGTGCCAACTTGTCAGAGCCCGAAAATGTGCAGAAGGGGTAAAAATATACTAACATAACTTCTACATTACAGGGATAGAGAAGGGTATCTTTTCATTTATCAGTCAGATAATTCTCCGGATACAATGTATGTCTGAGGTAGCTGAAATTACACACACCCCAGTCAAAAAAGCAACAGTTAAGCCTGCCAATTGAAAAATACATCCATATTCATGTAATGCATGTTCTTTCATGTAAGTGGCTAGTGTTTCATGTTACATTTTGTAGATGAGCTCCCCCACATGCTATGTTTCTCAGTCTCGTACAGAATCTCTGCCTCAGAGTGAGCAATTGAAAAAGACAGAGTGGGGGGAAACAGAAACAGGTAAGTAAATTGGATAAAAATAAATGTCACTCTTCAACTCAAACGTACTTCATTTTTCCCCCAAAGCAATCCCTAACTCAGTCTCTTAGAGAGGAAAAATTAACTGTATGGATGCAGAAACTTGCTGCTGAACAGAATTTCCTCAGGTTTGTATTTTGCAGTGGAGCACAGATGTGAAATGAATATATCCATTTTAACAGTTCAGTCGCAATTCTGTACAAAGTGAGAGTTTAAAATTACCTGATTTTACAGTGCTGTTTGGCTGACGTGGCCCAGTACTATTCTGACGTTTTTCTTCTAACAGTAGTCTTACATCTGCAACTTTCTCTGATGATCCTTTACTGCCAATCCGATTTTTGATATTACTGGTTGCTATGCTATCTGCTCGCATGGAATTCCTAAATCAAATAACAATAGATTTACCATCCCTTAAATGAAATGAAATCTAGTATAATTCTTAAGTCTTCTTGTATGTAAAATTACATCACAGAAAACAGTAATATCAGGATTTCTCTACCAAGAAACAGAGGTAAAAACATTACTTAGAAGAGCACGTGTTCCAGTCAGAATCCTAAGTTTATCAATAACCACATGAATACCTCAGTACCCATTTCAAGGCAGGTATCGAGTTTATCTGCTTAAGGCTCCTTTGACTCCTCTGGGTCAAAATTCAGAGCAAATAAACAACCTCAAAATTGTTAAAGGACTTGACCTTGTAATGAAGTATAATCATACTACTGAAGGGACACGTTAAAGTTATTTTAATAATCTACAATATATGCAATTTTGGTTAATATGCCTATAATGAACATAAATTCCCTTTTGTCTTCAAAGCTTAAGGGTTATTCTTCTTTCTGAGAAATGAGGAATGGATAAAGGGAAAAGAGAGAGAGGAGCTCTTTGTCCCTGGCCTAGCTATGAAATGCAAGAACTTAATTGTGCTTGCTTGCATATGTTTCTATTGATTCCACTTTGAGCTTCATTACTATCAATAAGAAGGGTTACAAAAATCTGCAAAGGAAGCTATATTTTAAAAAATGTTAATTGTAATTAAAAGTGTGTATCACAGTTTTCTGCATTTTGTATTTCTTTTTAAAATATCTACAAAATTATGTTAAGAATTGAAAAAGTAGCTTCAACAGTTCGTCTTTATGCTTTGACAGCTCTGTCAGCAATTAAAAATTAGAATCCTTTTTCACTGATACTTTTAAAGAATAAGAAACTTTTACCTGATATTTTTCAGTTGTGATTCCACCTCGTCTGCATACATTGTCATTTTCATGCTCTTTTTGGGAGAGGGTGTTGATATCATTTTCAGTTCAAGATCATAGTCCATTTCATCAGAATCAGATGCACTAGCACTCGATCGTCTTGCTGCACTGCGGTCTCGGGACTGTTTGAAAGCTTGCAGTTCGTCACGGTACTCTACCACAACTCTGTCATCTTCATCCATATCCTGATCTTCTTCCTCCTCTTCTTCCTCCTCAATAGGCTCCTCAGGAACATTTACTAAGCCTGTAGGAAAACACATTGATTCTGATAAACTGAAGTTTATCATTCATATAAGGTACCTTAAAACCAAGGCCAAAAAAAAAAAAAAAAAATCACTGTAATTAATGATCCACTACAAATAAGTCCTTGTAGTGCTCTAAGGCTAAAGAGAGAGAGTATTTTGCAAACTATTTTAAGTGGAATCTATATTACAGAACAGCCTAAGTGGAAGAAAATCACGACAGGAGGAAAAAAAAGTCCATGGTGTTCACTTTCTCAGAAGCCTGCTCAAGCATAAAGCTGGACTGAATAAGTGAAGTACAATTGCCTCTTGTAGTAGTACTGTAGTAGTAGTTCGTACCTCCTGAACTAAGCATAACAATTCCTATGATCTTGCAGGGCTTAATGTGACAACTGTTGGCTCCATGATAATCCTTTTGTGTCTTGTAAGCAGTAACACCAAAAAGAATGCACGTATCATTAGTGTGAATTTATCACATATACTGATTTAAACATAAATCAGCAACTTAAATTTAGCAGTGTGCAAGTTTCTGCCTCAGTTGTTCTCTGCAAACACTTAAAATATGATTCATTGTTGACATATTGGCATCAATTACCTGAATGACGATGTTTATAAGGAGGAGTCAAGCCAACATCATCCCCAATAAGCGTCCTTTTCTTTATCACATCCCGATGGATTCGACGCGAATGGTATCTTCGTTTCCTGAAACACCAGAAAAAGAATGACATTCCTGTCACAGAAAAGGCATCATGAATGAGCCATATTCAGTCCTGGATTAGGCATATGCAATTATCACTTACTTTAATAGCAGACATACATTTATGTCAGAGATCTGTTCTGAATATAAACATTCTTTATTTTCCTGAGAAAATACTCCCCTTGCAAATTCACAGTCACATTGCAAAAATGTTATTTACACATAAGAAGCATCTACATAAACTGAAGAGAAAGAAAATTCACAAATTAGAACAGTTTTAGACTATCTTGTCCAATTACCCGCAACATTCCAGTTCTGCTATCCAATACTCACCAAGAATTGCTAAGAATTCCCTTCATGCCTCCATAATTTGGATTGCCATATTTCATGTAATACTGACTTCGCCTTGCAGCTCCCAGCTCTTTTTTGTCATCTGAAAACAACATAAATTAAAGGAATATTTCCCTCTTAGAATATCTCTTACAACACTAGCATAAAAATAAATAACCATCCAAAGACGCAGAGAGTGAAAATAAGACTGAATATGTCTTACAGATCAGCATTACTTCAATCTCCTTCAACAAGGATGCAATTTTGCTGACACCTCTGAAATGTCTCCTACCACCACAGTTTATTTGTGTCTAGAAAATTCCAGGGAGACTCAGTTTCTACTTATCAGCTTAACAGAGCATTACATCCCACCGTAACTGCTGGAGGCTATACTTACGCTATTCATGACTTCTCTTTTATGAATGCGTCACTTCCCACATGGCCCAGAAATTATATGGATTTTCATTTTACTCATAAATATATTATTTAATATCTCAACTGTAGTTAGCAATAATTTCCACTAATACCTCATCAGCATCTCAAATTATTTTCATATTTATAAAATATGGAATTTACCTCTGTGGAGAAGGGCATCATAAAACCTATTCTATGGTACTGGGAAGAACGCCTTGAGCCCAAGGTAACATTCTTTATGTACAGTAATTTTCATACAACTTGAACTGGATTTTATTCACATTAAATGTGGATTTATTGCAAAATCTTAATACCTAATGATTAGCAAAACACCTAATTTTGCAAATAAAAATTAGGTACTTCAAGCCATTAATTAGTCAACAAATAAAACTACAACAAGCGATTAATTCGTTATGCTTGTTAAGCTGTTCATTTACCTTTAGTAGCAAATCTCATGAATAGCTTGTTTCCTTTAGCCAGTTTATTGGCAGGGCGAAGATCATTACGCAGGAGAGAATCCTCTTCTACCTGGGAGAGGGCATCCAACTTGGGGGAGGGAGGGGCAAAAAAGGTATTTTGGACTCAAAAATAAAATTACTGTTGAATAAAAATGGATTGCTTACAGAGAAGCAATCAACTGATTATTAAGAAAGTTACTTTTCAAATTATGCTCAAATGAACTCTGCTTTTTTTCCTTGACAAACTAACATTAATTTTTAAAGTAATTTGCCCTAAAGATTTAAAATATTTCCTTCTCCTCCTTCATAACATTATCTCAGGTTATTAAATCCAGTAATTTTCAAATGACACTATATCAGTGACTGAGATGCAGAAAATAAATAGCACAACTCGGACACTGAAAAACAACTATTTGATTTTCTTTTTTTGCTTGTTTCATAGCTAAATGATTTTACAAACAGGTTCTCATGCCCTCACACAATGACTAAAAGGCACTTTTTAAAATTTATATCTGCTTCATAAAAACTAAAATTCAGACTTCCATGATGTATGAGTGTTCACTAAGCCACTCCTAAAGAAAATACTAATCACATCTCTTATATAGTCAGCCAGTGAAGATTAAATTACTTACAAAACATCAATGCGTATGCTGATTCCCACATATATCTATGGACAGCCTAAATCCTATTTGTCTCTAAGCACTGCCTGCACTGCTGAAAGGCTGTTGCCTTCCACTATTGTTCTTTCATTGCCTCCTCTCAGCAGAAAAGAGCAGCCAGTCTAGCTCTTATATGCTGGATGCCCTAGCACTCTTCAAAATCTACTTCCACAAAACACTCACGTATCCATTCTCTCCAACAGCACATGTGCACTTCCTGTCATTTCCCCCATCTAATTTACTTTGATAATTAAATTGCGAGTTGCAAATACATATGGTTAAAACTACAATGTTATGAAGACTTTACACCAGTCAGAGCAAAACTTCCATAGTAAGTGTTTTTACTTTCTTTCTGTACTGACCTCAACATCACTTGGATTGTCATCCTCAACCTCGCCTTCTTCTGTCTCATCATCAGAACTTTCCTCCTGTTTTTCTGAGAAGGAAAATAATTGGGGAAAATAACCTCCATTTTAGTGTGTCAGTCACATTTGATTATTATTACCTACATTCTCTGAAATCAAACTGAAGGTGTTATCCTTTCTTCTGTGCAGCCTAGAGAATAATCAAAACAGTAAACGTCTACAGAAATTTGAAGCACGCATGAGCACAAAATAACATTAACTAGACAGCCTCTGTGCAGATAACTGCCTGTGGCAGCACACATGGATTATTAATTCTTTGAAAGCAAATGAAATTGCACTGCATTTCAGGGTATGACAGAGATCAGCAAGGCCAAGACTGTAAAAGGAATATAAAAACGTATTTCCTTCAGCCTCCCTTTAAAATGCTGCAAGTACCTACAAGTATCTAATACTAACAATGTAAAACAGGTTATTATTCTAAAGCTTAGAAGTTTCTGAGAGAGCAGGAGAAAAAAAAAAATCTTAGTGACTTAATTTCAAAGTGAAATAACTAACAAAAGAGTGCACACTTCCCGAACTACTAAAATTGTGAGATGCTCACATAGATTTTTCATGGTTCTTTTTAGCTCAGAGTGAGAAAATTGATACTGGATTTTTTTTTCAGTCATCAAAAAAAAAGTAGTTAATATGGACAACTATCAACATACACCAATATCGTTTGCAAAGATCTCAAAGTACTTCATAGACATAAGACTAAAAAAAAAGCCTTTTATATTTCAGAGTTCCTGATCTTAATCTCATCCAACAATAGACTTGAAAACTTAAAATAGAGAGCAGCAGCTGTTCAAAAGAGCCTGACAAGTTCAAAGAAGAGAGTAAAGTGTGATTAGCCAAACTGAAACCAAAGAGGGAATTTAGGGAAACAAATTAGCTAAATTCAAACCTGAATAATTAAGTTCCATCAGGTACAGCATCAAGCACTTTTTTCCCCCCAAATAAGCTTCTTGCGCTTCTCACAGGTAGACTGGTCTCGCTTCCCTAAATGTCTAAATAGCCCTCAAATTCCTATCTGAAAAAGTAACGATGCAACTAAGCCAGATTATTCCAGTATCTCTGTATGCATCCCCCACCTTAAGATGTAATTGAACAGTTTGTACTTCATCTAATATCCCACTTTTCCAGATGAACAGGTGAATAAGTTTACGTAGGAGTAATTTAGATGATGGTTTTTATTTTGAGATGTGGTGTAATGATGATGCAATATGTAATTTGTAGTCAACCAGATTAAATACATGTATTTATGCTCCATTTAAACAAGACAGTCACTAATCTCCAAAAACTTCATAACAAGTCTTACTTGAAGCATTATCAACATTTGCGCAAAAAATTAAAGTCACGTGGATGGTTGAGGAGCCACTGCGTTGTGGAGAGAAGCAACAAGAAAAGGGGATGAGTTAGAAGGATCCACAAGTTTAACAAAGCGCTAAACTCCAAACTTTCTAGAAAGGCTTTTGGTAGCACTGCAAATATCTAATGGAGAGACTGGCTACTTGCATTTTGTTCATGTAGCATGTTTAAGCAAAATCTATGGAAGAGTTAATAAATACAACGTCTCTCTGCTTTGTACTGTGTGGTACAGTACTCTGAACCACAGCAATTTCTCACACCAGCCTAACAGCAAAACAGTCCTAAGGTAGCAAAAGCCTCATTTTTAATTTACATCCATAAAAGTAAAATAAATTTACAATGAAGGTATTCAGGTACCAGATTTATCACAACATTAAGACGTACTTTTGCTGCCTTACTCTGACCTTTCAATGTGCTTCCTTCTTTAAAGTACAATAGCCAAGTTTAGAGATGATATACACAGCAGTGAAGTGATACAGTGTCACACAGTGTGAACAATACACTTAAAGGATGGTGGTGTATCAAGAAAGGAATCAACTGTGGTATTTCAAAAATAGGACATTTTCTTACACCTGCTTTTTCCATGCTTAGAATCCATCCTTTTACTGCCTTCGTACGCACATCACACAGACTTATTTCTGTGCAACACGTACTACTATAAATATCATATCTGAATAGGACCCTACATCTAACATGTTTGGTATCAACTGTATTACTGCTTTTGGTCTAGTTCCAACCCACCTTTTAAGAAGCAGCTTCTTCAAAAGGTTTCCAAGATGAAAGCCTTTTTTAAAGTGGCAGAATACATTTACCTGAAACTATATGATAGAAGCTCCTTCAGTAATTTAGATTATGCGGTACCCAGGCACAAGTTGAAAGTTTCATTGATTTAAGTAGATGATGTCTATATATGCGTATCTCAATCTACCTTTCTTGTTTTTTTCAGCTGTCTTCTCTTCATTGTTTTCTCTGCTTTTTGTTTTCTCCTGATCAGGCAAGGAACTCATATTTATTAGAGCCCGTGTTGCTGTTACTTCATCAAGCCAGACCACATTACCTGTGACATTTATAAACACACACAAAAACAAAATGTGGTTTGTATAATCAAGCAGTCACATACATTGTCTTACTGGAGGGTAATCACTAACAAAAGTTCATAAACACTCTTATATAGTGACATGACAAAACAGTA